CAAGTAATGGGTTGATTTTTACTCCCATCGTTTCATAAAAAATATCTAGTTTAATTTGATACGAAATTTAAAAAAAAAATTAAAATCTTATGGTACTAAATTAAAGTTATGTCAAATATATACAATGGTCTTTTAATCTTGTAACCTTAAATATATTATGTGAAAAATTGAAACTAAAATATTATCAAAAAAATAAATTATTCTTTTTGAAACGAACGAAATAACTTTTACATATACCTTCTTCTTGTCCCAACTTTGTGGGTGTGTTTTTATGTGTGTGTAGTAGGATAAAGTATTTATTTTGTGATTCACTCAAACTGATATTAATGGCAATAAATGTTCTTTTTGCCTAAAAAAAAATGTAATGAATTGATTTTTATTTTATACACACCTATGTGTTTGTCTTTTTGCTATGATGCCATCAATTAAAGATCAACCTAAAGTAAAGATAAAAATTATGATGATCTTAAAAAAAAATAGATCCAAAATATGAGGTCCAAAAATTTCTGAAAATGGTAAAAAATGAGTACATATTTCTTATGGGAATTGAATTTGTGTCTTCAATATGAAAAGACGATGTCCTAATCACTGGACGAAAGGGATCAAAAAATCATTCTTTATATAACTAAGCTCAAATTTAAAAAAAAATCAGAAGAAATAAAATCTCTAGATAAAAGTCTTATACACAAATAATATTAGTTTATGGGTTTGGTTAGTTAGAACAAAAGAAAAAAGAAACTAGTACTACTAAAATTGTAGTATTATCGATATATTTATATATACCTTATAAACAAATTTTAAACACTATGATTATTTAATAAGTACTACTACTAATTAACTAAGTAGTTATAGTTCTTCCGTCCCAATCTATACCTTTTTTTAACTTTTTGGATCAAAAAATAAATATATCTTCGTCCATATATATACTTTTCTTTAAATTTATAAAATTATGTTAAAAGTTATTTTCATTATTTAGCTATCAAATTATGAATAAGATATTTCAATAATCTATATATTTAGAAACAACGTTAAAATTCATAAAAATAAAACACAGATTTTAAAAAGTGTATAAGTTAGTAAAATTGCGAGTGACCAATTTATGATTTTTGATTGATATCAACTTATAAGTTATATATCTTTTTTGTCTTTCAATGCCATCAAACTCGTAGATAAATTAAAAAGTACTAATTTAACCTGTTCATAAGTTAAAACAATAACGTATTTATTGATTTTATGTAAACATTACGAAAAATTGAGTTATTATATTTTTTGGAGTTTTATGCCGTTGACTTGAAGCGGGGCTTGACGTTTAAGTCGTTACTTCAGGCTGCGTTAGATCATTTGGAAGTTGCGAATTGCCCTCTATTTGCCACGCTATTTCTTTCTTCATTCCTCGAAACTTCTCTAATTACCCAATTTAACCCTTAAAATTTACAAATAATTATAACCTATGCTTCCACTTATTACATTTATTTAGATACTCTTCCTCTATTTATATATATATAAGCATACATAGACTTGCCCTTCCCACAACATCTACTGAAAATTTACTCCTCATTACAGAAATGGCAGCAGCTAAACGGTTTTTAGATAATTCTAATCCGGATCCAAACCAACCGAATTACAAACGCATGAGACCTTCTTTCGCTTCGTACGCCTCTGTTTTTTCAAATATCAATTCATGTCGATATACATATTTAATTTCATGATTACCTGACTTATAGTAATTTCTTTGTTAGTGTTATTAAGGAAGCAATGAAGGCGAATTTCCTAGAGAACGTGTCTTCTGCTTTGGAACCGATGCTCCGTCGAGTGGTATGAATTTTTTTTGAATAAATTTCACTTTGATGATAACTTTATGAAATTAACTTCTTCAAAGTGAAATTGATTTTGCAGGTTGTTGAGGAAGTGGAGAAGGGACTAAGGCGTTATTCATGTCTTTCAATAACGAGATCTCCTTCGCTTAGAATCAAAGCATTAGAACCATCGAATCTTCGTCTCATTTTCAACAAAAAGCTCTCTAAACCAATATTTACCAGCAGCAAAGTCGTCGCCGGCGACGGTCAGAGTCTTCAAATTCTTCTGGTGGATACGAGCGGCGAAGGCATGGTTCCGACGACTTTACCTTACCCTATCAAAGTAGAACTCGTCGTACTCGACGGAGATTTCCCGTCCGGAGAAACTGAAACGAATTGGTCTCGCGAAGAATTCGACAAACGCGTGGTTAAGGAGAGAACCGGAAAGAGGCCATTGCTTACCGGCGAACTGAATTTCACGATGCGTGAAGGCGTCGTTCCCGTTGGGGAAATCGAGTTTACTGACAATTCGAGCTGGATTCGGAGCCGGAAATTCAGAATTGGCGCAAAAGTGGTTCAAATTGGAAACAATCAAACTTCTGTTCGAATTATAGAAGCCGTTACTGAATCGTTTGTGGTTAAAGATCACCGCGGAGAATGTAAGCAAATTCTTCTTCTTCTTTCATTTTAGTTTCTTTTGGTAGTCGAAGCTGATTTTCTAAACTTTACAAAAGTCCTTAACTCATTATTCTGAATTCTACCATCCAGAATTTCATATTTTATTGCTTAGCTCGAACATACAACCTTAGGATTGGAGGTTGAGCGCGTTTACTATCGGAGCAATCTCTCTGCTAGCTAGGACAAGCTAGCTTAGTGACTCCAATGAGATAAAATGTTCTTAAATTGCGTGAAATGAACTAAATCATTGATGACAATGACATTTTTGGACCAAACTGTTAACGAATTACATAATTTTTTTTCAATTTCACAAGTTTGAGGACTTTCGCGACGTTGAAAAGTAATGAGTTTGTGTCATGTTAACATGTTGCAGTGTACAAAAAACATTACCCACCAGCACTAGGAGATGAAGTGTGGCGTCTTGAGAAGATTGGAAAAGATGGAACTTTCCGCAAAAAGCTCTCTTCAAAAGGCATCAACACTGTACAAGATTTCTTGAAGTTAGCTACTATTGACACACAACAAATCAGAACTGTAAGCCTCTAGCTACTCACACAAAACAAATTATAAACTAAATACGAATTACAAAGATCTCTTAATTGATTGTGTGATTATACAGATACTGGGAACTGGAATGTCTGATAAAATGTGGGAAGTGACATACAAGCATGCAAAAACTTGTGAGATGGGCTCGAAGTTATTCATGGCCCGTGGCTCAAACTACGTTCTAATCCTTACTCCGATTTGTGAAGTTGTTAGGGCAGTTATTGATGGGCAAATTTACCCTACTCATGACTTAACTGGGATACAAAAGGTATGATTTTATATGCACTTTGCGAGTTTGATTCTTGAGATATTGTAAATTTGCTAATATCTATTCTACTGTATCAATAGGCATATATCCAGAATTTGGTGAAAGAGGCTTATACCAATTGGAGTTCTTTAGAGGAAGTTGATGGTCTAGTTAATGAGCCAGCACTACTAACTCAAGGTACTGTGGTGTTCGAGCCAGCTTGCTTAAGTCCACGGGTTAATACTTAAACTTTTTTTAATCAGCATAGATATTGAGTAATTCTGTCCATCAAAAATTGAATGGGATAAGAAAATTCACCTAATATGAATTTCAATATGAAACCTCATGATTCTCGATCCATTTCATTGATTACTAAGTCATATGTCCACCATGTACAAACAAGTTTGTTTTCAGTTGTACTCTTAAATGATTATATAAAGAGGTCTTTTTTTTCAAAAAGCACAAAGTTTTTGGAATTATTAGCAAGAGTCAACACACTTTGCTTCTATATTTTAGTACAATGTGTTGGTTATTAACTACTACTAATACATAATATAATGTTTTTGTCATACGAACAGGAGAACCAATGGTGGATCAATATCCAAATGTTCATCAGCAGCAACAACCAATGATAAGATCCTATCAACGAAACACAATTTTGACAGATGCATCTGAACAATTAATCGAATACAATGACTGGATTGGTAATCCTAACTACATTTGATACACCTGCTGATAATAACGGTGGTAGTTACTTTTCAGACAGATAGAGAATTGTGTTACATTTTACACTGTCAGCATATAGAAGTTAAACAGAAGACAATGAAGGATTGAAGCTTATGCTTATAGGTAAATGTACATAGTGTGTAGGAACAAAATTTTGCTCAATAAAGGGCGGAAAATTGTTGTAGAAGTCGCGCCACCCCTTTGTAAAAGATGTGTGGTCTGGCAATAGTATGCAAAAGTATGTTTCAATTTTTTTTTAATTTAAGATTCAAATTTGAGTTGTCTATTCTAGAGGGTGATTGTTCATTTAATTGAATGAACAAATTAATGGAAATTTTTACTTTGATTATGCATTCAGTTATGTCTTGTTTATTTTATTTACAGTACCCTTCTTACAACTTACTTGAAATTTTCAAAATTGTCCTGAATTATATGCATTACCGGATGATTGTCTCCTGTTAAGTTTTTCTATTCAACAATGTCAATTTACTCAAAAGTATAGTATTAACACTATTCTAGTAGTTTCTTGTTCATCGATCGTTGTTATCATTTGTATTTTTTGTGCTCGAGTTATCACACTAAGTTTGTTTTTGTAACTGCTCTTTTTTTTTGTATGCTATGTACTGCTTTACACAGGGCTCTATACTTCATTGTTCTTCCTTCTTTCTTTTCTGTATTCGCTTTTTCAAACTACTTTGAAACGCTTTACTTGAGCAGAAGGTTTAACATCTCTATCTTTACGAGGTAGGGGTAAGATTTGTGTAGACTCTATCCTCCCAAACCCCGCTTATGGGATTACAATGGATATGTTGTGGTATAAAATTAAGTTTTGAGCAATGAAATGCAGGCAGAACAAAATGTAATCTTGCTCATTAAGATAAAATTCTTATCAAATATATTTAACCGCAATATCCTGCTACACCAGACAAAATACATTCTTATTTACTCACCCTGGTGAAACATACTCATAATCTGCTATGACAAAGATGATAAATTAAACAAGTATCTACACAATTTAACTAAAGAATTTAAGAAATGAATTGAATTAGTACTGTTAAATTTAAATTGCTGCATACGAGATATGTACAGCCTCTTTAAGATAGAAAAAAGGTCCAAAGTACTCGAGGGAAAGACAATAAAATTCAGCTTTCGGCAACCAATTGAGCAGGTGGCTGAAGAATCACTATCAAGAAAACCACAAACTAGACAAACTGAGGACATAAACTTAGCCAATACTGGAAGCATGTGTTGTTGAACTGCTACTGCTAGTCCATTTTGAAATTACTGAATCGGGTGAGAGAGATAATGCGTGATTGTTCAACAATCCAGCATCATCACCGGGACTTGGCTTCCCTATTTCTGTTGCTGTTTTATCCATTCTCTGAATTCCCAGTAGAGCTTCCAAAACCTCTGGCATGGATGGTCTCAAATCCCTGTCGTTCTGAAGACACTGGAAAGCCAACTCTGCCACGGCAGTGATCATCAACTTTACCATGTCATTGGAGTCAAAACCAAGATTTGAATCAACCAGCTCATGTAATGTGTTGCTCTGAATCTTGTTAATTGCCATATTTGATAGATTTATTTCCTGTCGATGCCTACAGATATCAACAGCTGGCAGAGAGGATATAAGCTCGATTAATACCACCCCGAAACTATAAACATCACTTTTACTGGTGAGTTGATAGCATTCGTGATACTGGGGATCAACATATCCGGGGGTACCCTGTGGAGCTGTTGAGACATGTGTAACATCAGTAGGGAAAAGCCGAGACAAGCCAAAATCAGCTACTTTGACGCAGAAGTTACTGTCTAGGAGGATGTTGTTAGTTTTAACATCTCGGTGAATGACTTCTGAATTATGGAGAAAGGCTAGCGCACTTGCCGTTTCTATGGAAATGCTCATTCGTGTATTCCATGAAAGTGATCCAGGCTTTGAGAATTCTCCATGAAGATGATCAGCAACAGTACCATTGGAAATATATTCATACACAAGAAGAAGCTCACGGCCATGGCGAGATGTGCATCCGTAAAGGGTAACTAGATTTCGATGGCGCAAACGAGTGAGGATTTCAATTTCATTTCGGAATTGCTCAACCCTCTTGTAGTTGTTCTCATATAAACGTTTTACAGCAACAACACGCCCATCTAGAAGTTTACCTATAACATGTCATGTTCAATTATATGGTTAATGAATCAGATCAAATGTTTAGGTTTTAGTAGCATATTGGCAGTGAGAGAAAGCCCACTTCAGGATTTCTCTTACCTTTATATACTGTGCCAAATCCACCTTCTCCTAGCTCTTTGCTGGAATCAAAATTGTTTGTGGCTTCTTCCAGTTCACTGTAGTCGAAGACATGAACTCCGAAATAGTTCGAAGCCTTTTCAGGGTCCATAGTTGAGGAGGGATAAGAAAGGATACTTCTGGATATCAAAGACGAACCAGCATGACTTTTCTTCTGTCGACGATAATAGAGAAAGAAAATTACACATGCCACAATGGCAGTGAATGCAGCTGTAGTTACACCTAAAAGAGAGAAATATGTGACTTAGAAGTTCTTGATCATCGTTAAAGAGAAGGATAATCATAAGATGAACATGGTCAAAGGACAGTTACCTACAGCAACCTTCACTCTGATATCTCTTTTATCGCCTGAAATGCAGACATAAACAAGTGATGAGATGATACAGAACCACGATAAAATATCTTCAGTAGTATCATAGAGACAGGAATACAACTACTACCACCTTACTGTTTCTAATCTATAGATGAATTATGTGGTTATTTTCTAGGCTGTTATGGAAACATTGTCAAACGTGGATTTGGACTTTAAGTTTCTGAATTTACTATGGAAACGGTGTCCTGTTTAGGGGTTGGAATTGTTATTCAAGCACCACATATAGTTCCCTCTGTTATTCAAGCAATCTTGACAGTTTAGCCTCATTCATTTTTGCGGAAGATGAGGGTAATTCATTTTCGCATGAAAAGGTTTCTGGCATGATTAGTGCACTAAAATCTCAGTATGAACAATTTGCAAAACAATGATCTGTGGCATTGCTGGTGCAATTTACAAATGGAGAAAACAAAAAAAACAGATAAGAGAAGGAAACAAGGAAAATAACTGCTGTTAAAACAACATTTTGAAAAGCCTGAATCCTAAGTCATGGGAAAAGATGAAAATAATTTGTTAAGTCCTAATAACATCAAAAGTCCACCTTCACCACCTACTGGGTAAGAGAGTCAGCATCTCTAGATGCAGCAAAAGGAAAAGAGATTTCAATCATTGATTTGGCAAGAAGAACTAGAAAGGTAAAGATGCATTTTTTTTAGGTAAAGATGCATTGTCATCTCCATTGTTCACAAATTTTGATATACCTATCTCAACAGGTTAAGCAAATACAAACTAGCTTCTGTCTAGTACTACTAAATTCTCAGAACAGGCTTCATCAAAAAGGGCTTGTGCTGGGCAAACTGTTACTAAATTTTATTATCTGGGCTTCATAAACTTGAAAGAATGCCCAAAGAATGTTACAAGGAATGGAATAAATAAGGAAGGTGTGAAAAGAATTGGAGTTCCTCACCAAAACATGGGGAAATTTCATAGATATTTTGAATGGACAATTTAAATTAGATGTTCACATGGCAGCCTAAGTTTTATTTTTTTCTCTTCTCTGGTAGTCTTATTTGACAGTTGAAACTCTGACCTAACAGTTAGATTCGACTAAATTTTGGCAAACAAAACAAGTTAGAGATGGAACACACCTTGTTCCCCTACAAAACCGCAGTAATAAGGATAAGTTCGGTCCTGACAAAGGCAAGTTGGCTCTGCATAATCTGTTTCTGACCAACATAAACCCCCTGATTTCTCACAAGCCATACATACTGGGCTTTTGTTGTAAACCACATCAAACCCTTGCTTCACTAGCTCCAACATTTTCGTACTTCCTTGGTCTTGGAACCGATTAAATGCTGATAGCAACACAGGAACTGCGACGTTTAACTCACAACTCTCAAACTTCGGTCCCCAGAATGATATAAATGACTGATCTGGATAGAAACCAAGATTGGACTCTCCAGAGTTATTACAGCTAAAGCTGAATTTTTTCCATTGAGAAGGTATATCGAAAGGACAAGCATAGAACAGGATGAGAATCATTAAGTTGCGAGGAGCATAGCGGAAATGGGCATCATTTAAGCTAGTGTTACCGAATCTATCAGGACAAATGTCATCCTCAAGATCATTTCGTGCAATTCTCATGGTTTGATTGTCTCCATTGATGTCAAGTACGCGGAAATTATGACCATCGATATGTATAAGGGGATCCTGATTGTCTTCACATGCAAGCTTGAATTGTGGAAGACCACATTCTTGAGGTCGATCACCACCCCAGAAAGGAAAGCTGATATTCTGAATATTCCCACAGGTGTAGGAGCTATTACAAGTGGAATACTGTTTATCCTCTAGGCCATACGATGGCGAGGACGTGATCAAGAAACATAGGAAGGCAACAATGGATTGGAGCAGAGGAAGAGGAAAGTTTTGAGCATGCATTTGTGAGAGAACTCATCAATGATAGACTATGTTGGTTGGAGAACCTTGTATTAGAAGAGTTCGGCAAAATATACAATTCAATTGAGGTGTTCAAGTATCAAAGTTAATCCAGTTTTGACTAACAAAAGATGACAAACTTGAGAACTGTTATGAATGAGAAAAGAAATGGCTGCTCATGCTTTATAAGACTTTTCGGTGATTATTTTAACCATAGAAAATTTTACTTTTCAACTTAGACGAGTGGGACGAAAATTAGTTCCATTTGTTCACAACTAGAGGGAGAAATTTCAAATGAATAAAAAAGGGATAAATATCTTACACCAATCCATTCAATCACCTTGAAAAAGCTGAAACTTTCCGCAGATTAAAAATACATGTCTAGATGAAAGAAAACTAAAGTAATAAAAAAAAAAAAAGGGAAAAGAGGCGGAAACTCTTGAACAAGAAAAGGACATGTGTGTTTGAGAATTCTTTCTTTGGGCGGAATAGAAAATTCCAAAAATCACATCATATTCATATGCACCTGTTGATATATTACTAAGGTTTTTAAATATTTTTTGGCATTTTGTGAAGGTGATATTACAGGAGATAAATAGTGTAATAAAAGAGGCTATGTTAGACTAACCTGAATTTTGTCTACAAACAAGACTTCTTTTTATATATAATCTATCAAACTAAGCCCAAAAAAAGGACCCGCCCAACCCAGCCATAAACTGAGTTTAAGATAATTTACTAATGGGTAAATTGAACAACTTTTATAAAGCTAGATGTTAATTGCTCAATGCATCGATAATTTCAACAATTACCGAATTGTCTCTAGAAGTCATTCAATTATTTACCATTTTAATATAGTTTTCAGCTTATCCTAGTTTAATTCTTAATTTCAATCCGTTTTCTTGTCTTCCCTAAATCAAAATCGCAAGTTTCGCCCAAGTATTTTTATTTTTGGGCTTAGTTTGGCATCCTTCGCCACTAGCCCAATCTTTAATGGGCCTTTCGCATTCAGTATATTCACGGTTTTGATTGTACATGATCAAGTTGGTTCAAAATTTTCAAATATCAAATCGAATTATCCGTGTAAAATTTTTAAATTTATAAACCAAAACAAGCTAATTAAATTCAGATTTTTTGGGGGTTTTTAAATACCAAACTAAACCATTGTGTCGAATTTTTAAATTTATAAATCAGACCAAACTAATAAACTTTGGATTTATTCAGATTTTTGGATTTTTTCGATAAAGTTTGCATATAAACATATAATTAACTTGTGCTCCAAATATTTCTTTAGTCCAACCAAAATAATCTAAAGTGTTTCTTAAAAAATAACACAAAATATGAGATGAGTATTGATGACACAAAAATTTTCAATAAAAAATAATAATGAAATCATCATATAAAATAAATATTTGTTTAAAAGTACTAAATCATGTTAAAATAAGTTTAATAAGTATTAGTTACATTACTAAATATTTAAGGAAAATTAAAATTAAATTATGTATTTTAATTGTCTAAATCAATCTAAAACTAAGAACAAATATTCAATATTATTGTCATTCTTAGTGTTGAATTGATTTTCTTTTTGCATTAGTATTGATTTAAGTTTTATTATAATTATCAACATCTATAAACTATAACCTTTATTGGACCATTCCGAATTCTAAAGTTTTAAACTTGAAATAATGTATTAAAAGTTAAAAACTATGAAATAGTATAAGATTTTTTTAAAAATGATATCAAAGTAAATATTTTTATGTATAAAATAAAATTATAAAATTACATATATAATATCGGGTTGGTTTGGTATCGGGTTGTTTTTTTTAATTGAAACCAACCCAACCCAAATATAATTTTAAAAAAAATTCCAAGTCAAACAAACCACTAATCGAGTTCTTTTTTTTATTCGACTTGATATGCGATTTGATTTGATTTTCGGTTCGATTTTGTACGCCCAGTACTGCCCCTTATTTTTGGCTCTCTTTCTTGAAAATTTAATCTTGTTTCCAATTTTAGACGCAATAAATTATGCATTTTGAATTCAAAGTAAGCAAAAAATTTAAAATTAGAATCTAAAATTTTCAGATTTTAGACGCAATAAACTATGCATTTTGATTCTTTTGAATTCAAAGTAAGCAAAAATTAGAATTATAGTCAAATACTAACATCAGCTATATTCAAGAACTTGATACCATTGGTTGATTGGCGTATTAAATAAGATAATATGATAATTACTAAAGTCTAAATACGTACGCCAACTATGGAATCACAACATTGGACTTTTTCTAGATTAAATTAAATAGCATTAGTTGGAAAAAACAATAAGTGATCAAACTTTTGTTGATATCTTCTTGAACAGGAAGACTGTGACTCTTTTATATTTTACAAGAGATTGTTTGGTCCTCTGTTCGAATATGCAAGTTTTAATAACGCAAAGATTAATTTATATATTGATTATTTAAGATATAAATTTATTCATAGTTTATACATAATTTTATTTATATGAGATTGTAAAATAATAACTAAACATCATATTTGACGTGTTAAATTTTGTATAAACAACTAACAAGCTACCAAATATGGTTTTAAGTTTTAATTATGCTAATTTAATACGTAAATAGTTCTATTTCAAACCCACAATTAAAATGATCCCTAAACTTATGAAACACGTCTTGACTTTCTTTTACTTAAGTAAAATTTTTGATAACTTTCTTTTACTTAGTAAAATTTTGAGTTCAAAGTTTATGAATAAAGGGTTTCAATTTTTCTTATATAAAAAATATAAGATAATTATTGCTAGATTTGCAAATTATGAAAATTTAGCTGCAAATGCGATGTTTAATAAGAAGATAAATAAATAGCAAGAGTTTTGGGTGTACCTTTGCAATGTTTAAACTTAACGGTACCATCTTTGCAATAGCACAAGAGGTTATGGGTTGAATTGTTATAACCGCACCTCCCCTCTGATTTCTCACACTGGCCGCACTCCGACGCGCTCCGCCAGTCCAGCACGAAACCCTCTCCCATGGCAGCACCAAATCCTTCGATCCAATCATTATTCTGGAAGCTTCTCCTCTTCGTAACCGTCGTCACCACTTTCTCCTCACAGATCCCAAACCAGTTCAAATCGTCCGGCTCAATTTCCCCAACGTAGAAATACGTACCTGATTTCAAGCATTCCGCGGGAAGAGCATCCCCTGGATTTTTCGTACAATTGAAATAGAAGGTAAGTTTCAAAGCGGAATCGGAAAACTTCAACGGCAATTTCTCCAATGTAAGGTTGTGACGTGCTCTAGGGCATTTCACGTTGAAAACATCAGCGTCCACCAGAGCGAGAGAATAGCTTTTATAATCTATACTTTTGACGTAGAAAGCATCGCTTGGAAGGTAAATAATCGGAAGCGGTTGATTTTCTGAGCAATTGATTCCAAATCCTGGATAACCACAGTACTGAGGAGCGCTGGTGTTGTAATTATCAAGTCTCCAGAAAGGATATGAAATTTCAACTCCATTGCAGGTTGATTTAGGACAAAATGCATAGGAGGAAGAATCATTTTTTGCACTGGATCTAACAAAGGAGAAAAACAGAGACACAAAAAAATAGTAGAAGAAGAAGGAGTTTGATTGATTTTGAAACATTGATTAATTGATATCAAACAAATTGCAAAGCTGATTGGTATACATGAGATAGTAGTTGTATAAACTTTTGCAGCTTCAAGTATAATAAAATATCGTCACATAAATTAGAACGAAAAAATTAGTATATATTTTTGTCAACATGAAATATGAAATGTTGAATTTTTGGAGGTTGTAAAGCTTTATAGTCTAATGGATAGGCACCAAACTATTTTGTAATTTTTTATTAAGAGTTGGATTTCTTAATACAGGTATTGACTTTATTAGTGGAATCAACTTTTGAAGACTTTAGGGTGAGTATATTTTATGTATTTGGGAAAACATAAAAAATGCATTAAAGAAGGTGAGATGATTTTAAAAATAATGCAAAAGAAAAAGATGGTCAAATTAGGACGTCAACTAAAAGAGGAAAAAAAAAGAGAAGGAAATTGCAACCCAGCTTTTTTTTTTCCTTTTACGGTACATTTTAAGGAATTTCGTCCTATCTGTAAATTGCAATTTAAGTGCAGAAAGTAATTAAAGAGGCAATAAAAATAGAAATAGAGTCAAGGCAGCATTTCGACATTGATTCAATTAGCGTTTAATCGTAGCTTTAATTGATATTATAAAAAAAATAAGTGTTTATAGTTGCGTTTAAGAGTAAATTTTGAAATGAAGTTGTGAAAGAAATGGTATGACAGAAAATATTTTTGAAAATGTTTGTTTTAAATAAAAAAGATATCAATTTAAAAGTATTTTTTTTATGTAATCTAGTAAAACACTATTAGAGACAGAAAAGGAAGTGATTGAGGATGGTGGGGAGAGGATGGTCAAGGGTAGGGATTGGGGGTTTGGTTGTTGGGGAGGGCCGGGGTTCATAAACAATTAATCTGAAATGTCTCTTATCAAATTTATTTTTTCCAAGTTTCATTAGAAAAATAATTCACATTTTTAAGAATATTATTTTTTGAAAAAAATATGTTTCGTTCTCCCTTTTATACAATTTATATAACATTTTTCATTCTCGAGATCAAATAATTTAAATTTAATTGTAAGTTTATGCATAAAATTTTTGAAGTGAAATTTATATACTACGTATAAAGTATCTTAAGTTAAAATAATTGACAATTCAAAATATTTAAAAAAATATATGAAAAATTTACTATAAAAAATAAATTTATTTGAATCTAAAAATCTAAAAAATATTATATAAATTGAGATAGACGAATAACTTTTTAACCAATCAAATATGAAAAAATCTATAATTTTTTCTCTATTACAAACACGACGTAAATTGGATTTAGAAGATCTCACGTTTCACGCGGCCATGTGATTATCGCTACGACTAGAAATATTTTGGTATTGTTTATCTACGAACAGTGTGTCCCTTATTGTACAACGTTGAACAAAATTCAGTTATTAACTCAAATTCGATATTTGTGTTAGGAATAATTTAATTATAAAATATAAGTTCATAAACTAAAATTTAAAATTCATAAACTTTTAAATATTAAATTTGTCTCTGTTCATTTGGTTGATTTTATATATTGTTTTCAAAATTTTCTCTGTTTGTTTTTCTCCATTTTCTTTCCTTCTCTTCTTCTGCACTAAAACACTGCTGACCACATTTTGACCCGTTTTCATAATTTTGTACACGACGTGACGCACGCACACATGTATCCCTCTTCTTGAATCGAATTGATTTATGTTATTTTAAAATAAAATCATAAATTATTATTTAAGTATATATTATATTAAATAATTAAGATAATTTTTTTAGTTTATAAAAGAAATGAAAATTTTTTAAAAATCAAACTGAATAGCCCTAAATACAAATATAGTTACATATTAACTATATGCTAAATTTATATAAATATATGTTTGAATTTTTTTTAAATATAAATATAATTTAGGTCGTAGACCTCTTTGGTGACTACCATGGGCCTTTATCCTTTCATTAATCATTTTTATTTTATAGAAAAAATACTAGTATAACAGAAGTCATTAAGCAATACGGCGAAACCTATGCTGACACTCAAACAAAAGTTTAAGATCAAATAATTCAGTAACAAGGTTCTTGGTGAAGGATTTAAGTACTTCTTCAAAAAAGTACACTTGTGAAAACGATATTCTAATAATTTTGAGGTGATATTTAAAAGTAAAAAATTCATCGAATCGTACCAATGTCGAAGAATCTATTTTTGGTTATATATTATAAAAACTTGAAAAATTAGAATAGTGTAATTTTTAAAGAAAAACCAACCGAACCATTAAACCTGATAACACACTTGTAATTTTCTTCAAAATCATCATGGACATAATAGTAGAAATAAATTTATAAAAGACTATATAACCAAATGTTCCGTAGAATCAAGTGTTGAACTCGAAGAAGAATGTATAAAGGGCTTTGTTGGCTTCCCCAAAGGGATCATCGGCGATATTTCTTCTGATCGTGAGGGAGAAGATATGAAAGGCTTTGGTGGAAATTGGATGGCCTCTAAGTTACCTTCAAGCATTTCAATTGCCTTACACATTGGTGGCCTTTCAGTTTGTATGCACCACAAAACCTACTAGTATCATCTTCTTAGCAATTTCTTCGTCTTCTTTGGTCGTGATGCAT